AAAAATGTATGGAGATTTTAAAAATAATTTTTAATTCAAGATAAAGCAGTGGCGTAGTATTTTTTTCGCCTAAAATATACATTTCAAAACTCGTACGTACGCCACTGGCAGAGAAAATTAAGAAAATTGTACATCAGAAAATGCGCCTTGAGGCATAGAACATATGTACCAAATATGCCAGATGTCTACAAAATTATCTCAGTTATAATTGAAAAACTGATTATTTTTGAAAACTTTGCCACCCTGTATCTCAAAAGTTAGGGCGTTCAGGACATACGTCCATAGGACGTTTTTTCCTTAAAATGGGTCTAAGAATTACCTCCTTAAATATTAGCATGTGTTTAAGGAACACCCTGTATATAAAAAAACATCTAATGATGAAAGATCAGGTGATCGCACTGGCCATTCAATCGATCCTCGCCTCCCTTACCACCGATTGGGAAATGTTGTATCGGAGTATTGCCGGACATTAACTTGGTAATATGGCGGTGCTCTATCCTGCTGAAACCATATCGTATTCAATGAACCTTAAGGGTTTTCTGGATCAGGATGTAAATTTGCTAAACATGTCCATCATTTGCTCACAAAAATAAGTTCTTCTATCAAAATCGTCTTCCATGAGCTCCTGAGTAGGTATCATCTTATAGGTATGCATTTTATTTTCTTTTAGTATATTTACTATCGATGTATGACTAAAATTGAATGTAGTGGACGCCTGTCTACTCGATGTATGTGGATTTTCCCCAAACTCAAGCATCACATCTAAATTTGAGTTCATCACTCATTGAATTGGCAGCTGCTTTTTTTATCTGCCCCATATGACCAAGCTCGCGAAACTGTTTCTCTATTTTGTTTATTGTTCCTTGAGATATGGAGGTAAACCAATCATTTGTAAAACTGTTATTTTATGCATTTTTGTTAATCTAACCATTTGTTAGACTTGAAGTTAACGAACTTTAAACTTAAATTTAAATACTAACAACTAATGTTGTAACATATAAAACAAGTTGACAAGGCGTTTTGAACTATCATTGCCACCGAAATTTTTGCTTATTTTCTTATTATCAATACCTCAACATGAAATAAGTTTTGAGTATATTGCAATAAGTTTTGAGTGCATATCGAATTTCGGTTACCACATGATTTCAATTTATGTTATCTTAATTGTTCCAATAAACTTGAAAGCGATAACATTTTTGAATAGAGAATGAAGATACCTTTCAAACGATACTTATACTTCCCATTTAAAAAATTGAGGGTTGTACCTATCATTCGACGGGGGTTGAAGGTGGGGGTAGCATTTTTTCGTTGAAGTATGTCAAATTATATTTTGAATTTGACGTGTTTCGGGATTTTGTTATAATATGTACCGTAACCGAATTAACGAATTTATTCCATTTGGCTTTTACACACTGTATGAATCATGAATGCCACAAAAGAACTCTTGCAGAACTTACTGAAAAGCATCAAAATGCCCTACATATGCTGACTTTCATAAATGAAATTTTGCTGAAATATTTCTTAAATAAATATTCACAAATGAATGAATGCAACTTTCATTTAGGTAACTATAAGAAACTGAAATGTTAGTTATACAAAAACGAAAAGGTACAGAAGAATAAAATATTTCCTAAATTAGAATTGCACTAATTATACAATATTTACAAATTAAAAACATTTGTACACTTGCATTGATAACATCTAAATCTTTTTCGTCTTCACTTAGTATGAAAATTATATACTATTAAGCCTTCCTTTTTTTTAATACAATACGGATAAGTCCGTATCCGTACGACTTGGTATTCAAGCTGAAGTGAAAAGTAAAAATTAGTCTAAATATGATCAAATAACGTTCTCGAATAACTGACGGGTTCTAGAATAAATGTCATTAATTATATGATCTAGAAATATTTTAAGATGATTCAACGATTTCATTCCAAGACTTTTGATGTTTTTCATTTTCAGGACTTTATGTTCGGACAAAAGAAAAAATAAAACTGGTAGGCCCTATATTTAGAGATACATAGGTTCTTCATCGATCGTTTAAATGTTGACTCTATTTGCGGATGATCAAGATCTCTGAAAACCCTGTTACTTTCAAAGTATATTTATCATCTTACGGCAATATTTTTTGAAATTGCAATAAGGAAAATTTTCAAGGCCGGAAATATCGGGGCCAGAACGTTTTATAATATATAATATATATTTGTGTATCGTTTTATCGTCAGAAAAAAATGAAATCTGAGGTTCTCAAAAAGTTACAAGCAGGTCAGTTTGATATAATTAAGATAAAAAGCGAAATGACCTTGGTTCTGAATTTTGGGGAGCTCCAATTTTCAGCTTCCATATTCGAGCTGATATAATTTAGCTTGATAATGAAAATTTGTTATAACACTATTGAAAGAGATACAATCGAAAGTCTTAGAAAGGTATACATGGTATACATATACATTCAAAGAAAATGTTATTGCTGAAATTCTTTTTTTGTGTAGATAGAACTTCAACTCTTGAATATCGGGATAGATAGGTTTAGCTCTGTACCTTGGTAGTGAAAATGCCTCTATTCAAATTTTGTATTTTCCCAATAATAGGTCAATATATTGAAAAGTATTTGAAACATGGCACATTTTCTCTGTAGTATAAATTGAAGAAATTGTCCGAGTATAATTGATTGATCTTGTAAAAAGGACACTGGACGTTTCACTTCCCATATACAGAATTACCTCCGCCGTTAACAGGACATCCTTCCATAAGTTTTAAACTGTCCTCAAGCAGGATTTCGGAGCTTTTTTCCCCCCCATCCATGATTGCAGCGCCTTTGATAATTGATAGTGATCATTTCTGTTCTGATTAGTTTTTATTACCAAACCGAGTTAAATACATTCCAGCTGTTGGACGTCAAGCCTATGCAAGGATATATTTATATTACCGGATACTGGCAATTTTTTAGTCTCGACGATTAAATAATAAATAATTGTTAGTTGTCGCAAATGAAAAATCACCTGTGGCGGGTTTTTATAGGAAATAATGTATTCCTATTTTCTGTGATTGAAAATTTCCTTGAATAAAGTTGACCAGTGTGTGCCTTTCTTTGGGGTTAACTGATGAATTTAAAGTAAATGAATGATTTGTGGATATCAGAAGGTTACGGTTAAATAATGAAAATCAATAAAACATAAGAAAACCGAAAAGAAAAACGGGATACATGCACTATATGGTACAGAAGTTTGGAAAAATATTCAACACAAATTTTTCTGAAATTATTCAAAAAGGTTTTTTTCAATACTTGTAAATTGGATAATAGTTCGATCTCACTTATGCAAGTGAGTTCATTCAGCCATTTCCAATGTGGATTCAGCGGTGGATTCACTCATTGGTCTATTTAAAACACACATTTGATTACCACTATTTAACTAAAATGTTCTTGAAAAATCGCTGAATAAAGTAACTTTTTTCTTCTCAAAAGGCATCATTTTTATCAAAAATTTGTTACCCCATTGTTTTTTGTTTATTGCATCTTAATGAGCGTAAAAATGCTTCTAATTAGACAAATCGAACACGATCCCATAACTCCAACAATAACAAAGTTACAAATATTGGACACTCAGTTTGGATCAGCAGAGGGAAGAATTTCTAAGTATGCTGTCGTTAATCAAACTATAAACGACTGTTCGGTACAACTGAATGTGAAACATATGTATGTTAATGTTTTGAGTTGTTTAATTGTCAATTTTTTGGTGTCATGTTTTTGGTGTAATTATAATATATATGAAAAAGAAACCACATCGATTTGTGAATACGCCTGACTGGACTATTACTATTCACAATTAACCTTATTACACAACACAAACGATTTTACTCAAAAATGCATTAACTGAATAGAAGACTGATTCATATTTATCTGAACGCCCAAATGAACCATTAGTACGTGTTAACCCCATTTCAGTTAAGCCGAATATGCAATTGACGAAGCATGAAGAAAGAAAAATTAACTATTGAACTCATTATTCTCTGTACATATACAAAATCTAAAGAGAGCTCGCCTCTTTTCCCAGGAGGCGAATTAACATTGTTATTTTCAGAATTCATTTCCATTCCATCAACTTTATCAAGTTGCAGTTGATTATCGAATATTCCATTTTCACTTACAGAATACACCATATCAGAATTATTTATGGAAGCAAATTCTTCAGAAGTTCCACTGAAAGTAACGTTACCTTCTGCTGATGGTAACATGAAGAAAGAAAAATTAACTATTGAACTCATTATTCTCTGCACATATACAAAATCTAAAGAAAGCTCACCTCTTTTCCCAGGAAGCGAATCAACATTGTTATTTTCGTAATTCATTTCTATTCCATCAACTTTATCATGTTCCAGTTGATTATCGAATATTCCATTTTCACTTACAAAATACACCATATCAAAATTATTGATAGAAGCAATTTCTTCAGCAGAAGCTCCACTAAAATGAACGTTACCTTCTGCGGTGGGATTACCAATGTAATAGATGATGTTATTCTTCGACGCATCGCCATCTAGAAAATACATCATATCAGGTTAGTAAAATCAATTTCTTGAAGACAAAACGTGCATTTAAGTCTTCCAATATGTTACAATTAGTAACCACAGTACGAGTACTTATGATAAATGTAATTCAAAATTGTTAAATATTTCAATAGGTGTTCCGCAAGGATCGGTATTAGGGCCTATGTTGTGCCTTTTATATACAAATGATTTCGAATCACATATCAGGAATACTTCTTTAACAATGTCGATTATGAAATCTAACACAATTGGTTAGATTTCATAATCGACAAAAACATTGCGTGCTTATTTAATTTCAAATTAAGAACATGTCAATTCTGGGAAAAGAAGAGACAAATTTTTTGGGAACCATTGATGCATGTTTGACATGGAAACAACACTGTTAGAACTTAACGAGTAAAATTAATTCATTAGGTTATCTCTTCAGAAACCTAATAGATATCTTGACAGATCAGAAACTTTTTGCACTATACCATGCTCAGGTAGCTTCCAGACTGAGAGATGGCATATGTATGTGGGGTAACTCGACTTCGATATTAAATGTATTCGTTGCGCAGAAGTAAATTTTGAGAATAATGGCCAAAGCCTCAAAAAGGGCTTCTTGCAGAAGTATATTTAGAAAATTTAACATTTTAACTCTTGTCAGCATGTATATATTCGAATTGTCAATTTTTGTCTTTAAAAACAAACATAAATTTATCACCAATGAAATCATACATAGTAGGAATACTCACGACTTGTCCATACAGCGAATGACTATTTTCTGAACCCTAAAAATGCGGCCAGTATATGAAGAGTTACCCTCATACTGTAGCCTTGATTGTATCACTCCATGAAACATGAATTTTATAACTTCTGTAGAGAGACAGTGTCTCGCAGATTCCGAATTGCGTAGTTTGCACTGCCAACCTTTACACATAAATTGTCGATATGTGCCTTCCATGTTAGCTTTTGATCCAGGAGTATTCCTAAAAATCTAGCTACCTAACAGTATTCCAGAGTTTCACCACACATATTGATGTTGTTAATTAGATCTGGATTTGAGGTACCGTTTCTTCATATTGCAGACAAGATCATTGTCTGCTAAAGTATTTACTGAATTCATCACATGCATAATTAGTAGTATAGTAGAGTATATATTTGTATCAACAGAGTAAAGTGCCATTCTATTTGGTGTGGTACACGTATCGTAAATATCATTTGAAAATATTATATTATAAAGAGTTGGTCCCCTGGGGCACTTCTAACTCAGCACTCTTACAGTCACTTGCGTACGATCTGTCAAATATGATACTATCCAATCATGTGGTAAACCACGAATTCCTTTGCTGTATAATTTACGAAAGGGTAAGTCGTGGTTAAACATATCAAATGCACGAGTTAAATCAAAGAATATACCTAGTACATTTTTTTGTTGTTAAGCTGTTCATAGATAAAATTCAGAGCTTGCTCAATAGCCGTTGACGTTGATATAGCTTTCCTGAATCCGTTTTGGTTATTAGAGATGATATTGTAATGTTCAAGGTAGGAGATCAGTTGGACAGAGAAGGCAGCTTCGAACGCTTTGGAAATTTGACTCTGAACACAAATAAATAGCGCAATAGTTTGCAGCATCATGTATATCAATATTGATATACATTTTTATTGTTTTAGATTCCGAAAAATACCTCTTGAAAATGACTCGTTTATGAGATATGCCAGTGGTTCACAGATTAAATCCACAGCTGATCTCAAAACTCTCCCATTAATGCCATCAATTCCTGAAGCTGTCTTTGAGGTAGTTTTCATTAAAATTGTTCTCAATTCATCTGTCGTTGCAGGCGTCAGAAAAAAGCTAACAGGATTAGTGTTCATTTTTTTGTTTTTATTGGAGTTCAAGCTAATTTTTGGGAGGTTAGTAAAATAATTGTTGATATAATAACATTTGTCCAGTATATCTCTAATAGGTTCTTTCTCCATTCTGATTATGTATGTCAGGAAATGGTTTCTTATTAACTGTGTTACTATTTTCATTGATTATATTTTCCAACTGTCACGTGCAATATTATTGGACTTTTTATTATAGAGTCATTGATATATATTTTCACAGTCTTTTGATACATTTTTTTAAACTCCTCAAATTTAGAGTTATAGAACTTGTTATTTATTTGCTTTTCAATTTTTTCATTTCATACAGCTGGCTATGCATGTTTTTTATATGAGGGAAAACCACTTTTTTGGTGTTTTCATCTTAACTTTCATTATAGGAAAAGAACAGTGGTAATGATAAAGAAGTGTTGTGTAAAAAGCTTAAAACTTATCTTCAAACGAGTCAAGAGTAAAAATCTGATATTTTTTCTCCTTTCTCCAATAATATTTTCTTTCGGAAGACGATTTCTGATTTTATTATAAGTGCATTTTCTTCTTGATTAACTTGGTCTTCATTTTTATTATTTTGCGAAATTTTACACACCTCACAAATTATTCCTGTATCACATAGTTTCTCACATTTCTGCTTTTTCCTGGGTGCACAAGATAAATGAAAAACACTTTACACACATTAAAACGTTGGTAATTGTTTGGAAACATTTGAACATTTTTTCAATGAAATTTCCATCATTTATAGACCATATTTCTTTCAGGTGCGCATTACTCGACGCCATGTTGGAACATGGAACAGATAGAATTAGTTACTAGGCAAACATACCAAAATTCCCTGCCCCCAGGTGAGCATAAGGCAAGAGAGGAGCGAAACGGCTCCCAGAGGACCTTATTCATCACCGGGGGTATACCGTATCCTTTGTAGCTGTGGATTGGTCTACACTGGAATTACGAAAAGAAGTTTAAGTACCCGGCTCTATGAACATGAGAGGAAATGTCATCTGGGGCATACCTACAAGTTAGAACTAGCAAAATATGTACTTTGCAAAGATACCCACCTTAAAAAATTCCAGGTGGTTGATATAATTCAGAACTAATACCCATGACTATATGAGGTGGCAATAAAAATTCAAAAACACAAAATAATTCCAAACGGGAAGAAGAGAATTTCACATTTAGTAAGGGGGCATACTTGTTGAGAAAAGTACTTATATAGCAAGTGAAATAGTTAATAACATCATACTTGGACGAATTGTTCTTTCAGATAAGAAGAAGAGAAATTAACATCAATGAAGTCTAGCTATCGGCACTGAATTACAGTCGTAAAAAATCAAGTCCACCATCAACCGAACAGAATAGAAGACTCCAACCTAGAATTTAGTGTCTGCTGGGACAAAAACCTGAAAACTTCGTCTGATGCCTCATTGCCTTCAATAATGTCTACCGCAATTGTAGACAAAACTGACATAAAAACTTGACGACCACGGCCAACAATTCAGAAGGTGTTTTCAACAATTTTTTTTTAACTAAAAATTTGATATCAGGAGTATTCATTCGACTGTGAAATCAGGACGCCGAGAGTATTGTCGAAGTAAACGATATTGTGCACATTTAAAGTTGGCGGCACTCTCAAAGGCCAAAAAACCAATACTTAGAAATGAGCCGGCAGTAAACTAGTCCACGTGGATTGTAGACTTGACGATTCGTATTGGATAATTTTTACTAACCGAGTTTTATAATTGGCTGAAGAGTCATAAAATTAAATTTGAAGTCATGTTACGGTGGCCCGTATCGGGGCCCGCATCCCCGATCAATCTTTATTGATTACACTGAAGAACATAGACGAAACGTATCATTCAAGTCTTCTAATTGACGGTAATCTCTGATGTCATTAACTATTTCACCTGCTGTGTCAGTAGTTTTTTTAATAAAACCACCACAAACAATCTTTGAATCAACTATGATATCAAGTGGATTGATTTTCCAAACATTACCCTCGTCATATGTTTGTTCATTATTCTCTGAGATGTTCATACAACTCATACCGAATTGTTCAACAGGATATGCAGTATTCAAATCATCTACATCATCTACATCTAGGAGTTGTATTTCCACATCTACAAAATATGCCATATCAGATTTGTAAGTTAAATAAATTTCTGGAAGATGAAACATACCGTTCAAAGCGTTCAACTCATTAACTATCTGGCTGTTTGTTTCTGCCATTTTATTCGATTGATCATCCTGTACTGCAATCTGTCTTTCCAAGGACTGCAAAAAAAGAAATTTGGAAATACTGTCAAAAGTCAAATAGTCAAAAATACTAATTTCTAAAACAATTTTATTTTCCAAATTTACAGCCTCGGTGCACCGCACTATATTCACTTATTGTAGAATTAAATATCTGGTCTTCTTCGTTGTTGTATGGTAAAAGATCTCTCCTTCCATGAAAGTTATAACAATTTATAACTACCAGCTTCAAAACATCAGTCCAGGGAGCCTATTGAATGTCCGAAAAATTTCAGAGTGTTTATTGGATTAAAATAATGATAGAATAACAAAAAATTAAGAATAGAACCGATATGAATAGTATTTTGTCTGAAATATAGTGCACAATGTGATTTACTTCAAGACTGAACCACCTTCATATTTTTGTTGCTTGAAGTCATATTTGAAAATGTCTTTTCATCAATTAGAGCTTCAAAATATGTACTTGATGAAAATAAATCGACCGCTCTCGACCAAATAATAGAAAAAATCAATACGATTTTGAAGAAAACATTTTAGATATTTTTTATAAAATAAATATATTGATTTGTTTTTCAAAATTTCAAATCTTCCCAAACATCTATATCTCAAATAATATCTTCTGAACAAATCAGAGTTTGATAAGTAGAATTTGGAAATGAATAGGAATGAAATGAATCTATTGAAAACAATTTTCCCTCTTCAGAACAAAAATGCTGTCGTTCAACGCTCGTTTCGTGAACCAAGTTAGCGTAATCAGGACATGAGTAAAACTACTTCTTACAAGCTATATTAATGTTTTTATATGCATCGGGTCAAACCATTACCTTCCATAATGAGGGACATAAAATTCATTCCCAGTATTTTGTTATTGTCCTATTGTCATTTACTACCGGACTCATATCTAATCTTCACCCTTTTTCTTCCTGTAAATACGAACGACTGGTATTAGAAATGGGAATTTCATAAACGTTCATAGATCTCATTTCACATTTTTGTATTTCTAAACTTTCGAATCCATCCAATATCTTGTTGTTATGTATCAGTCTCAACGATTTAGAGCATTCCTTACTTATTCTAAGGCTGTTCCCTAAGACATGTTGAACAACACTGGACTTCTCAGGTCTATGAAATCGAATATGTGAAACAAGTTCCTTGTAGCGAGCTATTATATTCCGCCTTAAGTTAATCAACATTCTTCTCTATCGGCTTGCCCAACACTTGTTAGAGTGTACGTTCAGTTTTGAAAGAAACTGTTATATTCAAACTAAGCGAACTATAAAAGCTCGCTACACGACTATTAACATATTCTATTTGATAGACCAAATAAGTCCAGTGTTGCTCAACATGCCATAGAGAAGGGCCACAAAATAAGTGAGGAATGCGTGAAATTGTTGAGATCGTTACTGACAACAGATTTTTAGATGCATTAAAAAGTTTAGAAATCGAAAAATTGAATGGGATCTATGAACGATGATAAAGTTCCTATTCCCAATAGTCCATTGTTCGCACGAGTATATAATTACAGGAAGGAAAAAGGCAACGAATAGGTATCAGTCATTATCTTGCATAATGATCCTCATTATCTTGCATAATGATCCTCAGTATGCAAGATAATGATTCGAACAGACGCATATAAAACATTAACATAGATTGTAAGAAGAAGTTTTGGTCATCTCCTGATGATGCTAAATTGGTTAGCGAAACAGTCGTCGAGGAACAACATTTTTGTTCTGGTGAGAGAAAAGTGTTTTAATAAGTCATGGCTTACTGAAATTAAAAACGAACACGATTTTGGAACTTGGGCATGAGGCATACAAAATATTTTGAAATTTGTTGGCGGTTTTTTCAAATGAAAATGTCTCTAATACAATCATCTAAAAGAACAATTCGTTCAGGCCAGTCTCAACACCCTACACAGTAGGTTAATGGACTGACACCTATCAGAAAACAACTACTCCCCTGGCTAATACCATGAAGGGCGTTGGATTATATCCGACAGGTGTCAGTGCAGGATTCTTCACTGAAGTTATTCCTGCATATGCTGTTGGCGATACAACTGCCGCAATAGATTTTCAATTATTGGAACACACTTGCAGACCGGTTTCGGGCTGTTTGGCCACTCGTCAGTGCAAGGTAGTGTATATCATCAACATAAAGTCGATGATTTCCGATAATTGAAAATCGAATTCCGTCAGAGTATCATTCCTCGAACTAAGCTGAAGACTACAACAAACAACAGGTTTGTCGTCACTCCATCTACATGCGAACGAGGTAACCAACTGCATATCCAAATTTGCCCAATTCCTCGTAAAAGGAAAGAAATCTTTCACGTATAGACTGGCCTGAACGAATTGTTCTTTTAGATGATTTGATTTATAGCCAGTCTTCAAGTATGCCCACTGACTATACGTGAAAGGTCTCTAATTAAACTCATTTTTTCAAGGACAAAACACAAGCAGTACAGGAAAATCCTTAAGGTGCTCTAAGAGTGGTGCCTGTGCGAAAGTGCGATTTACGCTGAATTTGAATCGCTGGAGATTATAAATTCTTTTGGAGAAATGTTTTCAGGAAGTTTATTCCACACGAACGCACTAGTCGAAATAAAATAATTTTTAAAACAGTGAAGTTCGAGGTGTATGGAGTTGAACCTCAAAACGATGAGCAGACACAGTCGATCGCGTATTTCTGATATGTACCGCTCTTGGTGTGCCAAGTCACTTGAACACCTCCCGTGAAAGTATCTGTAGAAGAGAGATAAATCTCCAACCTTTCTTCGATGTTCCAGATTATCAAGGTTGCAAGTGATGTTCGTGTCTCCAATCAGGCGGATGGCTATTTTCTGAATGGAATCCAACAGCAACAGCAATACTCCAAAGACGGTCTGATCTGAGCTTTATAAAGCATCAAAAATTGCTGAGGTGTGTACAGTTTTCTGGTTCAGAACAGTGTTCCATGTTTAATTTGATTGGATTATATTTTTAGGAATGACAAATTTTTTGGGGAAGTATAAAATTACTTCTTTTAAAATTGATCACTTCCTTCCTTTCTTCGGAAGATTCCCACAGTTTTATGTATCAAGATGGAGTAGTAGAAAGCCAAAAAAAAAAATGTTTCATGCTTTTGAGAAGCAGCATTTGCAATTCCTGTGACATGATTGTGCCAAGACATATTGTTGTGCGTTTTAACCACTATAAAACTTATCGAAATAGAAAGCGGAATTGCCTGTCCTGACATTATTATATCCGTTTCGGAAACAATTATCTTTTTAGAGAAAACCTATGCCTGGGATTTTGTGGCATTGAATTTAACCTGGTTACTTTCACCCCAATTCGAAAACACCAATATATCGTCATTATTATGTGTGATTGATGACTTGTTTACTTTATGGTAATTCATGATATGTGCATATATACAGTGTCACCATTAAAGTGCGCACCATATGGGAAACTTTTTTTTCGAAAAGTTTCAATGTAGTTTAACTTCGTCACTTGTTTGTGCTTTGAATTTAACTTAAAATGATGCGGCCAACTGCGATCCACTGACGTTCAGTGTTTGTCAAATTCAACTTTTTTTTTTTATTGGAAAATTGCATTTCTAGATCGAATTTAACAAAAAGTTACTTGAAAAAGTTGTGTCTACGGCAATTTTATATCCATATGCCAAATTTTATGCAACTAGGATAAAGTTAACATTTTGTTTATTTTTGACAGATATCCCCTTCATTTTAAAAAACAAGTTCGGTTAATTGTCATCAATTCATGTATACATAACAAACTCATCATGGA